TATATATATATATATGTGTGTGTGTGTGTGTGTGTGTGTATGTATATATACATATATACACACACATATCACATATATACATATATACATATATGTGATATATGTATATGTATATGTATATATGTGATACATACACACATATCACACATATATACATATGTATATGTATATATGTAATATATACACACATATATATCACATATATTTGTATATATATGTGATATATATGTATATGTATTTACTTTGATTATTGGGTCCTTAATGAAAAATGGATATGCCTTTATAGTTTTATGGATTAATAGTCTGGTGTTTATGAATCAGTAGAGCAAATGGTAGATTGAATTAAACCAAGAAAACTATTCTTTGTTGGTTTTCAGTAACATTCCCTATTTTTTGGTTCTTCTGTCATTAGCTCATTAGTTCTCACAATTAGTGAGTCATCTGAAAAACAGTCTTTTGAGGATTCTTGCATTGATGTTATTGATGAAAAATTGAGACAGAGATGCAAAGTGATTTGTTCAAGGATATTGAATGAGTCAGTGCAGGCTCAGAGTCAGAATTCCTGCCTCTTGATTCTTTTCTAATTCCAATAACACCTCGACCCCTAGTATTACCTGTAAGTGCTGATTGACATGGCTTAATTCTCTGCAGATTTCGAATTTTTAACCATTAAGGTGCATTTTTATTAGGTATACAAAAATTAATTAGAGATTTATTAGGATGAAAGCTTCCCATTTGGATTAGTTTTTTTTTTGGAGAGGTTTTTGCTATAGGGTGTGTGCGCTCACCAGAAAGACAGAGAGATACAGAGAGACAGAAAGCGAGAAATCATCCCCCCAGGGGGGATGGTCATGCCGCAATCCCTTCTCCATTCTCCTCTCGGGATCTTGAGCACACACGCACACGTGCCCGGCGTGAGTTTAAGCCACCGGGTCCGGGACTCGTACCATGGTCGGCTACATGGGAGTCCAGTGACATAGCCATTACACTAACTGCTGGTCCCTGGATTTGTTTTTTGAACTACTTCACATGTATTTCAGTTTTGGAAGTATGACTTCAGATGAAAATAAGTTCATTTAAATATATAGTAAAATCCTCTTAAGAGCTGTATTTCTGCAGTTAACCTCTATATCATGCCTCATTCTTAACTAAAATTATTTGTTCATATAGCTAATTAGGATAAAAATGTAAAGGTAGAATTTATCAATTATATTTCTTAATGCTATATAAATATACATATAACAGTAAGGTAAATAATTAAATATATAATTCTATGTTAAAAACTGTAATTTGGGCAATCTAAATTACCCAATAATTCCCATAAACTTTCTTTACTTGTATATATTGACAAGGTTCAAAAGTTTGAGTTGGGGCCAGCAAGTCATGAGGTGGTTGAGGGCGCTGGACTCCCACATGGCCGACTGCAGTTTGAGTCCCCGACCTAGTGGCTTCCTTCTCACTTTCTTTCTCTCACTCTGTCCCTCTCTTATCAAATTCATATAAATAAATAAAGTTAATTAAAATAATTATTAACAATTTTTTGAGATAATATAAAATTAGCTATTTTGTCATTGGTAAGCAAGGGAGAGCTGGCTATTTTGGAAAATCTCTTTGTTGGTATGATTCCACTTTATGGTCATTATATGATGTACCTTACATATTGTATATTCTATGTCTTATAAGTAAATATATATTTACATATTATAAGTGTGTGTACATGAGGGTCTTCAAAAAGTTCACAGAAACTTTGTATTATGAAGAGATTATGCATGGATTTTAAAACTTTTTGTACCAAGATAAATTTGTATTTTTTTTCCTTTTTTTTTTTCTGAGAGGTTTTTGCTGTTGGGTGTGTGCGTTTGCCAGAAAGACAGACAGAGAGAGACACAGAGACAGAAAGCGAGAAATCACCCCACAGGGGGGATGGCCATGCTGCAATCCCTTCTCCTCAGTTCTCCTCTTGAGATCTTGAGCACACATGCACACGTGCCTGGCGTGGGTTTAAGCCACTGGGTCTGGGGCTCAAACCCCGGTCGACTACGTGGGAGTGCAGCAACGTAGCCATTACGCTAAATGCTGGTCCCAAAGTTGTATTTTAATTCTACTTTTTCGTGAACTTTTTCTTTAAAAACAAAGATTTTAGAAACAACTTTATAAATAGATTTGTACACAAGAATCTAAACATATTCAAGGAAAACATATACAGAGCACCCAGATTACCAGAAAGGTAGACCCCACTCCTTTTTTGCTCTGGGAAAGAAAAAGAACAGAGAGAGGAAAACTGATTCCTTCTTGTTCTTTTTGTTAGGTTCTTGCCATAAAGCCCATGCACTCACAGGAAAGAGATGCAGAAAGAGAGAGAGAAAGTGAGAAATCACCCCCTGCAGGGGGGTGAGCACATCAAGATCCTCTCTCCTCCCCTCTCCTCTCAGGATTTTGGGTATGCATGCATATGTGCACACATGCACTTGCGCCTGGCATGATTTTCAACCCACTGGGTGTGGGACTCAAACCACGGTCAGTCATATGGAAGGCCACTATCTTAACCACCGCACCACCTACTGGCGCCTCCTTCTTGTTCTTAATTGTGTCCACCTATGCAGTCAGTTTTTCAAGCAGAATTTCTATTCCTTTGCTAGGATTTTTGTTTCTTTCTAATGTGGGAATCAGGCTTTTCAGTCCAGCTTTGACTTTGTTTGCAACTTCCTGGTCAGGACTCTGAAGAAGGCTAGAAAGAATAATGGCACCTCGGTTTATATTCGTCCAGGACTTCAGGTTCTTCATACCCACATGCTCTACAAATGTTTTTGCAAAACAACGTTCTCTTCCATTTTCTTTCATCTTTTTTTTTTTTTTTTCCACCTTGTTCTATTAACCACTTCAGTATTAGGATGTTCTGCAACATGAAGCTCTCCGTCCCTGCCTCCAGGGTGCAGTTCTGCTGCTGCCAAGCTGGCGATGGCGTCCATGGCAGGCTGGACGCCCCTGGTGGCAGATCCCAGAATGTCGGCCAATACACAGGCAGACTTATCTAGCACCTTGTCTTGGGCATGTCCTTGCAGGTAGCTTAACAAAGCTGGAGAAATGGATTCCAACAGCTGGTGTCGGCGGAGTTCTGTGTCTTTCTTACTGTGTGCATTTCTGTCCCCTTTCTGCAGAACTCCAATGATTTCTCGGCCTGTGTGTGCAGGATCTCTGGGGCTTAGGAGATATAACAGGACCTTCCTTCCATATTTGTCAGCTACTATGTTAGGTGGAAGAACTGATCATTTCTGATATGCTTATCTGCTTCACAAGCTTAGTATCATCAATATAGTTGAATGCCACCAGTAAAACCAAAGGGGCATACTGGCCATTAGCTACCGTCTCACCGTCTCTACGTAAGTCTTCATTGTTTTCACAGTTACTTTCCTGTCCTTGGGCGTACCATGCCTCCAGGCAGTGGATGGCCACTCTGGCGCCTTCGTGTGTGTGCGCGGGCACCAGGTATACCACTGCTTCACCGATGGCTTCAATCAGTTCTGATCTGAATTTTGGGGGTGCAGAAGTAAAAAAGTCCAAGAATACTTTATGCACTAAGGAGTGCTTAATCACAGCTTCCTTCTGGACCATTGGAGTTAGAATCTGCTTCGTTTCATCCATAATGAGTTCTAATTTTTCAGGCTTTGCCTCTAACACGCTGTCCAGAGTTGGGTGATCTGCTGACTTGTAAAGCCGAAGCGTGTCCTCGTAGAGCTCCTCTGTCAGCACGTTCCTCTGCTCCAGGATGGCTTTGTCATTGTAGGCGTGCTCCACGATGGCCGACGCTTCTGCGTGTCGCAGCATCTTCCGCACATGGCCTTCACAACTTCTGATTATCTCTGCAGTCTGTGGTTTCCTCCCGTACGTGAGAAACTTCTTAACAATATTTCTGGAGTATTTGGCTTTACTTAATTCAACCAAATCACCTCACCGTTCTTCAAAAGCCTGTTTTCCCGGCTCTTCATCACCATACTGAATGTAACACTGCATCACCCCCGTTGAATCGTGTGCAAATGCAATAGTTTTAATTTTTCCTTGAATCAATTTCTGTCAGTCATTCATTAACTTTACTCCTTTTTCTTTGTCACCGTCTTTTCCTTCTTAAGATCTCTCAGAGCTGCTTGGACCAGTGACAGTGTCATAGTTGGTTTTATCACTAAGTTGCCTGCTCTGCTTCAGGTCTTCTTCTTCTTTTTGAAATCATCCTTTTTGGGTTTCTTGGCTGCTGAGTCATCACTTTGTCTGACTGGAATTTTCCCTTCTTGTTGAATTTATTTGCCTGTTGGAATTGTTTTTAGGTGCTTTGTCCCTTTGTTGCTTATTCTTGAAGTGCTTTACAACCTTTTCCCCAGGTTTTGTGGCACTTTTCTCAAAGTTCTTTGGTGTGATTTTAGGTCCACCTGCCTTATTAAATTTCCTTGGGAATGTCTTTGAAGAACCAGAGTCACTGTTTTTATGGAATCTCTTTTTTTCTTGCAATGCCTTTGTATTCCTTCCTGTTATTATTATTTTTTTTTTCACTTTGACTTCCATCATATCAACTTGCACACATGGGGTTGAAGTCCTTCATGAACTTTTTGCAGTCCTCTCATACATGTATGTGTGTAGACACATGGACACACTCATATACATACAACACAGAGAGAGAACTTCAGCAGCTCATTAGAAAATGAAGTCATGGCTCAAGGAATCACCTATTACAATAATTTTATTCAAATATATATATGCAGAAAAAGTATATGCATTATATCATGAATTTTAATAAGCAGAATATACTGTAAGAGGCATATTCATCTTTGATTAATCAAAAATATTGAGAGCTATTATAAAATGTATTATTAGGAGGTTTCAGTATATGACTAAATAAGAAAAATAACTTTAAAAGCAGGAACTACTTGCTAATACTTAAAAAATGTTTTCCAGGTCTCTTTGATGTTATTTACAACAAAGGAAATATATGCATTTTCCAAAGTCATGAAATGAAGCCTCTTTGTCTTGCTCTTGACAATGGCTTTGTCACTGGAATGGTATGTGGTAAATTTTCTCTTTGCCTTATAGCAATTGTGTCATAGCTATTAAAGGACTTCAAAAAGTCTGTGGAAAAATGAAGTTAAACCATGAGTTTATTTTGGGTCAAAAAAGTGAAATCTGGGACCAGCAGATAGTATAGAGGTTGCATCTCTGGACTCCCACGTGGCTGACCACAGTTTGAGTCTGGATCTGATGGCTTGCAAATCACACAGGACATGTGTACATGCCTGCCCAAGATCCCAGGAGGAGAATGGAAAAGAAGGGATTGCAGCGTGACCATCCCACTGGGGAGTGATTTGTCACTTTCCCTCTCACTGCATCTGTCTGTCTCTCTCTCAGGCAAGCACACATAGGCCAGAAGGCAGAAAAACTTCTAAAAGAATGTTCAAATCTATATGTAGTTTTTGTTGTAAAATGAATTTTCTATGAACTTTTTTTTCAGAGAGTTTTTTGCTGTAGGGTGCATGCACTCACTGGAGAGACAGTGAGAGACAGAAAGCGAGAAATCACCCCCCAGGGGGGATGGTCACGCCGCAGTCCCTTCTCCTCCATTCTCCTCTCAGAATTTTGGGCATGCATGCACACGCACCCAGTGTGAGTTTGAAGTCACTGGGTCCCAGACTCGAACTGCCTTCAGCCAAGTGGGAGTTCAGCGTCGTAACCGCTATATCATCTGCTGGTTCCTTCTATGAGCTTTTTAAAGACTGCTCTTATATGTACCATATTTTTGCATAAGGTACTTTTATAAGATTATCAGATCATATTTTCCTTTGGCTTAGATTTGCATTTTCTTTACTAAAGTTTGAGATTCTGATGCATGGATGACTCTGAATTTCAGAAATCAGAATTAAGACAAATATATTATACTGACTCTTTAATGTTCAAAAATTTGAAAAATTTTATTTATCATTATCATTATTATTATTATTTTTTAAAAGAATTATTTTCTTTAACTTTAATTAATTATTTAATTAATTAGTTTTAATCTGACCAGAGAGAGACACAGAGAAAGAGAGAAAGTGAGAATGCTAGCCACCAGGTCTGAGACTTGGACTGCAGTTGGCCATTTGGGAGTCCAGTGCCCTTAACTACACCACCTGCTGGTCCCATTATTATTTTTAATTTGACCAATTATTTTTTAAAGAATTATTTTCTTTAACTTTAATTAATTATTTAATTAATTAGTTTTAATCTGACCAGAGAGAGACACAGAGAAAGAGAGAAAGTGAGAATGCTAGCCACCAGGTCTGAGACTTGGACTGCAGTTGGCCATTTGGGAGTCCAGTGCCCTTAACTACACCACCTGCTGGTCCCATTATTATTTTTAATTTGACCAAAGAGAGACAGAAGGAGCAAGAGAGAAGGAAAATGAGAAAGCAAGCCACCATGTCCGACACTCGAACTGTAGTTGGCCATGTTGGAGTCTAGTCCTTAACCACCACTCCACCTGCCGGTCCCAATATTCAAAATTTTAATGAGCATTCAGAAGGAGACAGATTTTCTAATGGCCCCTTTAGGGACCATATTGTTAGTAATTAGTCATTTTTTCTAACTATGCTTTGTGTTGCTTAGTCTAGGTCTAAAAGTAGCTTTTAATATATAAAATTGTCTTTAAAATGTATGCATGTTATTTATTTTGAAAACTGACTGTAGGGTAATTTTAGTTTTCTGTTTTATGCGCTTAATATGTATTATAATATATAATTCTTCAACCTACCTGTGAGAGAGTCCATTTTTATCCCTATTTAACAGAAGAGCAACATGAAGGATAGATGAATTTAGTTGCGAGGGCCACAAGCTAGTAAGTGTGGAAGCAGAAATTGAACACAAGCAAGGCGACTCCAACATTCATGCTTTCTCAGACAATATTAAACTATATTGCATAATGATTTTAGCTCATAGCACATTATTTTTTATTTTTATTTTTTAGAGAGAGATTTTTGCTATGGGGGTGTGTGAGCTTGCTTGAGAAACAGAGAGAGTCAGAGAGACAGAAAATGAGAAGCCCTCCCCAAAGGGGGAATGGCCATGCTACAGCCCCTTCTCCATTTTCCTCTCTGGATTCTGGGCGTACGTTCACACACACCCAGTGTGAGTTTTAAGCTGCCAGGTCTCAGACTCAATCCACGGTCAACTATGTGGGAGTCCAGTGACGTACCCATTATGCCACCTGCTGGTCACCATAGCATGTTATTTACCTTAAGGAAAAAAGTAATTATTAAAAAAGAAACTTAATGTCATGTGTAGGCCTGGAATTCAGACCAAGCGATGAATCTGCCAGGCCTTTCCCATGAAGCCCATTCTCTTTTGCTCTGAATTATTAGTAAGGTGCCCTACACTGTATTTCAGAGCGTATTCTTTTTTCTTCCTATTTTTTTTTTTTTGGAGAGGTTTTTGCTATAGGGTGCGTGCACTCGCCAGACAGACAGAGAGAGACAGACAGAAAGTGAGAAATCACCCCCCAGGGGGGATGGCCACGCCGCAATCCCTTCTCCTCCATTCTCCTCTCGGGATCCTGGGCACACACGCACATGCGCCCGGCGTGAGTTTTAAGCCACCGGGTCCGGGACGCAAACCACGGTTGACTACGTGGGAGTCCAGCGACACAGCCATTACGCTAACTGCTGGTCCGTCAGAGCACATTCTGATTGCAGAGACCTGGTCATAGTACATGCTTGGTGAAAAGGAATGTAGGGTATGCAAGTACTCAGTTCAACTAGGGATGAGAACATATCCCATTCGTCTTGTGTTTCTGAAGTGAAATTGAATCTACTTCTAAGCCCCTGTCCCACTAGGCTGTAGTAGGCTGGTGGGAAAGCCTATATTAGTTATGATAAGCCATCTTGTTCCATATAGGAGTTCAGCTGGTGTGAGGCCAGGAATACCTGGTGACAGCTTTTGAAACTATGGTCTGTGTGAGCCACTGTGATGTTCTCATGTGTGTCAGGTGGTTTCTCGAAGGTGAATAGCCTGGTCGCTTCCCCGCTGTACTTGGATGTTGAAAGTTTACCGAGGTTGGTGGGTTAGTGTCTTGAGTCCAGCTACTCAAAGGCACCAATGAGTCCTTTCTCTTTAGGCCCCACTACTTCCCTGGGTCACTGACGGGAGACGGGGTGGGACCTCACACTGCCTGAACCATGAATGCCTCCCTGTAGCATAACCTCCTCGGTTTGTTTCGTTCTTTCAAAGCAAAACAGGAACAAAATCTGTTCAGTTCAGTGTTCAGTCCCAAATAGTCTTGAGTTGGGAGGATACAAATGAAGAAGATAAAACTACGCAATCACAAAATACATATTAGCACCTCATTAAATTATCCTACCCCTGGAGTTATTTTTATTGTTACCAGACACTCTGCTTTAGATTCTGAGAAGCCAGGAGAAGAAAAGTCCGTGACTTAGGTCACTGGAAATAAGACTGGAGAATAAAAGGGACTGAATTACAAAAGCAGGACTGTAAGCAGTGCAAGGATTTTGTAAAGTAGACCTGTGGGTGCATGTCATGTCGACACACTTTACGTTTTTCTCTTGGTAGTTCAGGTTTGTTTTGTGGTTGTCGCTCTGTTTCCCTTTTCGTTTTAGGCTGGTGGTGGAGCTGCCACTGAGCTACGGGTGCTCTATCAGCCCAACCGCTGCGCCATTCTCGAGTCCACGCTGGTTGCAGGCCACACAGTTATTTTTGATCGCCACGGCAAAAGAGCTGATGAATCAGCAGCAGGTTATGCAGACCTCTCGAAGGAATTTGTGATTTTTGTCAAGGTAAAATGGAGGACAGTTTATATTGCTAAGTAACACTTTCTTTTGCCCTGTTAAAGCAGATTCTTCCATTGTCATGAGGCTGTAATCAGATCTCTCTCCACTAGGTGGCGTTGGTGCTTGTTACTCAGACTTTGAATGGCAATGAAAACCAGTTTTACCACCAGTAAAACTGATGGGACCATATCTAATTGAAGTTGGTGTTTAAGACTTTATCTAATTGAAGTTGATGGTTAAGACTTTGAATGTTTTCACATTCTAAATAAAAATGTGGAGAATGTTACATTTGGGAGCCACATCAATGTGTATATTTAACTTTTTAACATTAGGATTTATATCCTTTGACTATTACATATATGTGATTATTTTATAATACTTTATGCTTTTTTCTTAATAGTATGTGTTTGTGAATTTATTAAAAAATAATACTATTATTTTAATATAGTAGTTATCACTTATGGGGTTGCCTATTTTGTGCCAAACACTTTCCTGGGAGTTTTATCACATACAGGACTAATCATCATTAAAATTCTGACAGATATTGTTATCTGTACTTAAAGATGAAGAAAAAATGTCAGGGAAATTCATAATCTTGACTAATGTAACATAACTAGTGAATTGTGAGTCATGATTCAAACTGAATTCTATTTATCATTAAAGCTTTTTATACTTACTGTATAATACATACTTTCTCACATTATTAGTTTTCCTAAAACTACATAATTTAACCTATAGCATGCGTTTTAGTTTAAGGTTAAGCTGAAGGTTAATAGTTTACTAATAATTGAATAAAAAGATTATGAGTATGCACGTACATGTATCTATGTGTATTTTTATTATTGAGCATTTCATCTCATTTTATTTGATCACTTCTGCATGTGAAACTATAATATATACTTTGACATACCCTTTTACCACATTTATTATTATTATTTTCTTAGCTTAGAAAATTAGAGATCAAGTTTAAGGGTCAGAGTATAAACGGTCAAGACCCTGGGAACATACTTCTAAATTTCTTTCCAGAAATGTACCAATTTTTACTGTCATGAAAGTTAAGCCAACTATGAAGTTCAAAGAAACAGACTATACTACTGACCTCACTTCTGACACCACGCAGAGGTCGAGCCCCCCCCCGCCCCCATGGCGCTGTCAAGGCTTGATAATTCAGTAGAACTCCTAATACTGAAAGCTGTGCAGTTTATTACAGAGAAAGGGTTCAGATTAAAATCAGCTGGAAGTCCTCCCCTCACGGAGTCAAGACAGAGTGGCTTTTCTTAGCATTGGTGTTGACAACAGGCAAAGAATATTGCCAGCCAGGGAAATCCGTCTGACCCCTAGTGTCTAAGTCTTTGTCGGGGCTCCATCCTGTGGCCAATCTTAGTCTCCAGCCACTTTGGGGAAAATTCAACTCCTTTCTACCCAACCTCATCAGCAGTGCAGGATACCCATCTCATTGTTCTCAGTGTTGAGTATGATCCCTTTCTCTTCCTTCCTTTTTTTCCTTCTTCCTTTTCTTCTCCTTCCTTCTTTCCTTCCTTCTTCCTTTTTCTCTTTTCTTTTTTCTTTTTCTTTCTCTCTCCTTTCTTTTTCCTTTCTTTCTCTCTCCTTCCCTCCTTTCTCTTTCTCTCTCTCTCTTTCTTTCTTCCTTTCTTTCTTTTCTCTCTCTCTCTCGCTCTCTTTCTTTCTTTCTTTCACTCTCCTTCCTTCCTTCCTTCCTTCCTTCCTCCTCTCCTCTCCTCTCCTCTCCTCTCCTCTCCTCTCCTCTCCTCTCCTCTCCTCTCCTCTCCTCTCCTCTCCTCTCCTCTCCTCTCCTCTCCTCTCCTCTCCTCTCCTCTCCTCTCCTCTCTCTTTTCTTTTCTTTTCTTTTCTTTTCTTTTCTTTTCTTTCTTTTCTTTCCATTTCTTCCTTCTCTCCCTCTCCCTTCCTTCTTTCTCTTTTTCTCTTTACTTTTTCCTCTCTTTCTTTCCTGTCTTAATTTACCTGAGTGCATGTGCACTCAGTGAGAGAGAGGGGGAGGGAGGAAAGTGAGGAAGCAGACCCTCATGGAGAATGGTCACAAGGCTATCCCGTCTCCATTTCTCCCTCTCATGATTTTGGGCACACATGCACACGTGTCCAGCATGTTCTGCAAATCACTGTGACCAGGATGCAAACCACACAAGGGTTCGGGGGATCCAGCTTCCTTAACCACCTGGCCACCAGCTGACCTGGGTATGGCTCTTGAAAAGAAAATCTTTGGGAATTTTTAAAAAGAATAAACATCGACTTTTAGCTTACATTTTTGGCTACCAGTGTGTATTGCCTTTCCAGATGTTTATTCACATTTGTATTTCATCTTTTGTGATTTGTGTTGTCTTTACCCATTTCTCTACAATATTGGTGTATTTCTAATTAGCTTTCAAGAGCTTATATAGCTTTCTTTTCAATTAGTGATTATATAAGATTTATTTAAATATACCTTAGTTGTATTTGATCACTTTTCATTCATTCTTGCATGCATACATTTAACTAATATGCATAGAATACATTCCATAATTCAAGTATTCATAGCATACTTTTAATATTCTGCTTTTTATTAATTTGTTCCTAGTGATCATAAATTCTTGAAGAGAAATATTTGCAGTTTATTTCTCTATTTTAAATTGATTTAATTTAATAATTTTTATTACATGCACTACTTTTTTTTTTTTTTTAGGTTTTTGCTATAGGGCGAATATTCTCGCCAGAGAGACAGAGAGACAGAAAGCAAGAGATCACCCCCCAGGGGCGATGGCCTCATTACAATCCCTGGTCCTCCGTCCTCCTCTTGGGATTTTGGGCATTCACGCACATGTGCCTGGCCTGGGTTTTAAGCCTCCCAGACCAGGACTTGAATTGCTGTCAACAATGTGGGAGTCCAGTGACGTAACCATTATGCCATCCGCTGGTCTCGCAGTTTGTATCTTTTTAAAACATCTCCGTAACATCCAGTGTTGACCCTTACACTCTCAATAAATAGTCATTGGTGTAAGTCAGTCTTCTTTGGCTTTGTATAACTGTCAAATTCTTTCTTTCTTTCACTCTATTTCAGCTACCAAGCTCCCAGGAACATCCTCTCACTGTAAGCTCTGTAAGAGGACTGGCTCCTTAGCCACTTCCCTCTAGGACACAGGAGCCTGTTATTGACTACTTTTCTGTTTTGCCTTTTCTCGGAAGGGTGTGTTTCTCAACAGTGCAGTGGTTCTGCTCTCAACAAGCCTGTGTCAGGCCCTGTGTCTCCAGCCTGACGGAAGCTGCACTGGAGTTGGAAAACAGTCTGAAGAATCCTACTGGAAAGTGCATAAAATCAGCTCTGGGATTTGCATGTTTGAAAGTGTGAAAAATGTGGGGATGTATCTGCGGATTAAGGATGGTCGCTGTGATGGAACGGTAAGCATCTGTTTTTTTCCCCTCCACAAATGTTTAAGACGTTTGCCAGCCATAGACTCGAGAACAGCACTTTCTGAGTGCTTCATTTTTTATTTTACCTATGAACATTTTCAAAATTGCATGTTGTATGTGCTATCTTTCTTGAATGGTACTTTTAATAAGTGGGGAGGACAGGTGCGTGCCTGATGTGGTCAGCGAGGACTCCTGACCTTCTAGGCAGTGCTTCTGAACATCATGTGCATGCAGACACCTGCGAGTTATGTGAGAAAGCAGGTTCTGACGCAGAAAGACTGGGGCTGGGATCTGAATGTCTACAGTTCTCCGTCTCAGGCTGTCGCTGCTGAGGCTAGTCTGCAAACTATGCTCTGCGAAGTCCCTGCTCGTGAGTTCCCTTACCTTTTCTTGGTCTACATTTACACCATTGGAAACCCTGCATTTTGACTAAGGAAGTAATTTTAAATTCTAAATATTAGGGATCCTTCTTTAAGCCTTAGGAGGGGCATGCAAGGTAATTACTGTAACAGTTTTAAATTAATGATTTTCTGTGGGCTAAAGGCACTAAAGGACTTCAGGTTTCATTTTCCTATTAATACTTTCTCCATCGATTCTGCCTTCGTTTTTGCTTCACAGGGCATGTGTGTTCACCACAGAGACAGAGAGAGAGCATGCCTCCATGGGATCTGTTCATGCTGCAGTTCTTCTTCCTGCATTTCTTCATGTCATCAGGATTTGGGGCACATATGCACGTGTGCCTGGTGTAGTTTTCACGCCACTGGGACTGGAATCACACCATAGTTGGCCATATAGGATCAGGCTCCCAGTGCACAGTGCTTATCCATTGTGCTATAGGGCTGGCCTTCTCTTCATCTACCCTTGTTTGAAATAATTTAGTTTTAATTGTATCTTTTGGATAAATTCAGAGATACCTTCTTTCCTTCCCCTGCCCCTCCCTCTCCTCTTTCTCCCTTGTGCTGTGGGTTAACTCAGCTCTGTCTGATTATGCTGAGAAAATGGAATTAAATCCCTGGCATTCAAATGAGATAACCTGGCAAGTGCTGGAAGGTGGGTGGAAACACGTTAGTATTATTTCAGCACAGAGGAACTATTTTTCAGAGAGAGAATGTGAGTGCAATCCTAGTTTAGTAACTTGCTCAGAGTCCGGGAGTGTTAGAACTGAGACTCTGTCCAAGTCAGCCTGCTTCCTGTTTCCTTTGTGGAGGACTGCGAATAGCAGCATTGAGAGAAAGGGCTCACCGCTGCGAGGAGACTAGGGTTAGGGTACGCCGGCAGCATGGATTCCAAGCTCAAGCACCAAGTTTTCCTCTTTGGTATTTTTGCAAGCACCAGCTTTGCCTACAGCTTGTCTGGCAAGCGATTGGGTCGCAGGTGAATCAGTGGGAGAACACTCTACCTATTCCAGCTTGCTGTGCTTTGTGACAAGGCTGGGAACCCTGCACTTCCCCCACCCCGACCCCGTGGGCTTCTCAGAGGAAACGCTGGGTTTGGGATTTCCCATGCACTTGAAGCTGAGGCAGGCAATCATGTATTATAGGAGATTCAAACCCAAGTATCATTTCTTAGAGAGTATATATATATATAT